TTTGTCTTCCAAGGTACTTCTTAGAAGTTGTCAAATTTATTCCAAAAAAGATTTTTGAAATATGCTTTCTATATCCTTTTAAATTCTGTAAAATCTGTGGTAATATCTCCTAGGTCTTGACATTTTAAGTTTTAAATTTTTTTTTTTTTGGTACCAAGGATCAAACTCAGGTTCTTGCGCTTGCGCAGCAGATATTTTAATTTTAAAAATGGATAATTGATATTGTGTAATAGGAAGTAAAGGTCTAAAGGAGCAGGAGAAGTGGGAGAGGCAGGGGAAAGGAAAGAAGGGAAGAATATTAGAAAAGGAAAAAAATGGAAACAAAATCTTTGCAAATATGGAAAGGTGGAGGGGGTGAAGGGAGGGCAGGGGAAGGGGAAAAAACAATAAGAACCAAGATACTCATGTAATGGTACAAGATCCCAGTGATGTATGTAAATATATTTTATACCTAAAATGTGCCAATAAACTTAATGGGGGAATAAATAAATAAATAAATAAATTACAAAAAGCAAAAAAAGTATAGGAGGCAAAAATGTGAACAAAAAACAAGGGCAACAATTAGGAAATAGTAGCAAATTGGTAGTATTAATTGAACTATATCAAGAATACTTTAAATATCAATGGTCTAAATATACAAATCACAACACAACATTGTCTGATGTATCAAAAACAAAACCCAAGTATATGTTGTTAACAAGAAAGCCACTTTATTTATAAAGACAAATAACACTTAAAAATAAAGAGATGGAGAAAATGATTCCTTGCTAACACTAGTTGAGAGAAAGCTGTAGTAATTATGTTGATTTTAGGCAAAGTAGATTTCAGATCAAGGAGGGTTATCAAGATAAAGGGGGACATTGTATAATGAGAAAGGAGTAAATACTCCAAGAAGACACAATAATCCTTAGTGTGTGCATAGCTAACAACAGCACATCAAATATGTGAGGCAAAAACTGACAGAACTACAAGGAGAAATAGATGAATCCATTATTAGGGTTGTAGACTTTAACACTACTCTATCAGAATTGGATAGATCCAGGAGGCAGAAAATAAGTAAGGATATAGTTGAACCAAACAGCACCATCAATTAACTAGATAAAATTGTTATCTACTTTATTCAACAACTGCATATTACACATTTTACTCAAGCTCACATGCAATATTTACTAAGAAAGACAACATTCTGGGCCATAAAACACACCTTAAAAATTTTAAAATAAAAATCTCACAATGTTTGCTCTCAGACCACAGTGGAATTAAACTAGAAATCAATAATAGAAAAATAGCTGGAAAATTCCTAAATGCTTGGCAATTAAACAGTTGTTGCCAGAGGAGGGAGGGAGCAGAGCACAGATAAAGGGCATTGACTGTAATGCAATTGTAATTTCATGCTATTACAGTAATGAGTACGTGTCATTATAAATTTGTTCAATCTCATAGAACGTTGATTACCAAGAGTAAAGCTTAATGTAAACTATAGGCTTTGGGTGATAACAAATATACCACCATGGTGTGGGTTGTTGATGGAGATGAAGCTTGTACATTTGAGGGAACAGGGGACATATAGGAACCGTCTACTTCCTAGTCAACATTTTTGTGAATCAGAAACTTCTCAAAAGTAAGATATATTAATTTTTTAAATTTCTAAATTGTGCTGATCTCAAGTATACAGTAAGTGTTTTTGTTGTTGCCACTGATATTTGTTTAATTTTGTGGAACTGGGATGAAACTAGGGCCTCAAGCATGCTAAGCAAACACTCTACCACTAAGCTACATCTTGAGCCCAGTGAGTTTTGATTAATGGATATATCCATGTAACCTCCATTCCAATTCACAATAAAGAATATTTTCATCAGCCCAGAAAGTTCCCCTGTACTCCATTCCCTTGCACAATTACTGTTCTGATTTCTATCACCACATATTAGTTGTACTTGTTGACATTCATGTGGAAGGTATCATACAGTATGTACTCTTGTCTGCTGGCTCTCATTTCAGATATTTTTGAGATTCACCTATGTTTTTGCAAGTATTCAGTGTTGTATAGTATTACATTTTATGAATACAGTATATTACAATGTGTTTATCTCTATTTCTGTTGATAAGCACTTGAGTAGGTTCCAGTTTTTGCTTTAGTTATAAAGCAGCTATTATATTTTTATGCACACATTTTATACATATATTTTAGACACATTATTTCATTTCTCCTGGGCCAGTATCTAGGAATAGATGCCATAGTTACTTTTCTTGTAGCTGAGACAAAATACTTGAGACCCAAAGTTAAAGGAGGAAAGGTTCATTGTAGCTCACAGTTTATAGTTGGCTGGCTCCAAGGCAGGATGGCATGGCAGAGGTGAAACAGTTCATGGCAGGCAGAAGGCAACAAGCAGCAAAGTAGAAAAGCAGCAACCAACTACAGCAGCCTTCTTTCTGTCTCTTATATTTTACCCGGGCTACCCATGCTTAGGGTGGGTAACACTCATATCCAGGGTAGGCCTTCCCTTATCTGCACCCAGAACTATGCCAAGTCAATCAATGAACTAATTTTGTGGAGCTGGAGTGAAATCCTTAATCATATACCCTTGATCCCAGTGTTACACACTCTAGATCCAGCCTCCTTCTGAAAAGCCCCACCTATGATCTCATGAGGCTTTGGGGGGACATCTAGACATAAGCTGTAACAGCAGAATTACTGACTGAGTACCACTCCTCCATAGATATTAAAGGACAACTGTAATTGCCCTGAGTATAAAATATATCTCAGTGCAGTTTGACTTTGCATTTCCCTGATGACTAATGCTATTGAACATCTCTATTAACCAGTTATGTATCTTTCCTTGTAAAATGTCTCTGTACATTTTACCATATATTTTAATTAGGGGCATTAATTATTGATTTGTAAAAATTATATATTCTTTTGTTTGGTTGGTTTTTGATTTGTAAAAATTATATATTCTTGATATGAGTCATTTGTCAGATATATGTATTGAGAATATTTTGTAGTCTGTGGCTTGAAATTTTTATTTTCTTGCTAGAGTCTTTAATGAGCAGAAAATTTTCATTTATCAATTTTGTATTGAACATTTAGAACTTTTTGATTCTTAGAAAAATTTTTGCTTATTTCAGGAAAACAAATACATTCTTTCAGAATTTCTATTTAGCTTTTATCTTTAGGTCTAAGATTCATCTCAAGTTAATTTTCATGTATAGGGTGAAGTTGGGTTCAAGGTTCTATGTTTTCTTCCAGTGCCCAATTGTTTTAACATAGCTCATTTGAAAAACCTCCCTTTCTCATTGAATTACTCTGCATTCATAGGTAGAGTGGGAGAGGCAGAAAGGAGGAACTCTTAAGAAATTGGCTCATCTGATTTTGAAAGCTGACAATTCCAAAATCTGGAGGGCAGCCCATCAAATTGAAAATTTATGAAGGATTTCTATGTTATAATCTTAAAGCAAAGTTCCCTCCTCTCTAGGAGCTCTGTTTTCCTGACCCCCATGAGACTTTTGAGGGTGTTCTGCTTTACTTAAAGTCAACTTGTTATAAATGTTAACCATATCTTCAAAATCCTTCCACAGCAACATCTAGACTAGTGTTTGACCAAACAACTGGGCACTTGAGGATTTTCTATATGCAGATCATTTCATATGCTAACAGGTAATTTTACTTTTTCCTTTCCAGTATGAAAGTATTTTTAAAATATCTTTTAATTGTCTTGGCTAGAACCTCCAGTATATTATTGAGTACAAGTGATGAAAGCAGGTATCTCTGTCTTGTTTCTGATCTTAGAGTGAGAACACTGAATCTTTTAATGTTAGCTGTGGGTTTTTCAAAGGCATTACTTATAAAGTTAAGAGAATTTCTTTACGAATTTGTTGAATGCTTTTATCATGAAATATTATTACATTTCATTATATGTTTTTTTCTGCATCAGTTGAGATGATCATGTGGTTTTTGATCTATTAATGGAGTGTAGTACACTAATTGATTTCTAGATATTAAAGCACCTTTGCATTTCTAAGATAAGTTCCACTTGGCAATAGTGCATTTTTTAAATATATATTGATGGTTTCAATTTGCTAGCAGTTTTTGAGACATTTGTCTATCCATAAAAGATATTGGCCTGTAGTTTTCTCATCTAATGATCTCTTTGTCTGGTTTTAGAATCAAGGGACTATCAGCATGGCAAGATGATTTGGGAAGTGTTTCATACTCTTCTATTTTGTGGAAAAGTTAGTGAAGAATTTATATTATTCCTTATAAAAATATTTGGTAGAATCTGCCAAGGAAACTATTTGGCTCTGGAATTTTCATCATGGTGGTTTTCTCATTATTAATATAATTAGTTGTGTAAGTTTATTTATATTTCCTTTTGTTTTTAAGTTAGCTTCAGTATTTGTGTCTTTTTTAGTCACTTGTCTATTTCATCTTAACTAATTTGTTGGCACACAGTGACTCATAGTATGAATAAACTATTCTTTATAATTTGATGATTCATAGTATCACTAAATTATTCCTTAAAATAAGCTTTTTTGTGCAGCCTGTAATCCCAGCACTCTGGAAGGCTAGAGCTGGATGATCACAAGTTCAGGGCCAGCCTGGGCAATTTAGTGACCTAGTGGGACTTTATCTAAAAAATAAAAAACAGTATGGGAATGTAGCTCAGTGTGAATGCCTTGCGTTCAATCCCCAGTATTGCAGTAGAAAAAAATTTTTTGATGTAAAATTAGTAGAAATGACTTCTCATTTTTAAATGTAATATTTTGAATTTTGGGTTTTTTCCTTTTTATTTGGACAGTCTAGGAATTTTATTGATTGGTTCAAAAACAAACTTTGAATCTCATTAATTTTCACTGGGTTTTCTACTCTATTTTATTAATCTCTGATCTACTTTTTATTATTTCCTTCCTTTTGTTTGCTTCCTTTAGGTTTAGGTTTAGTTTGAAAGTCTTCAAGTGCAAGGTTAGATTTTTGATTTGACAATTCTTTTTTAACTTGGTGTTTACATTTATGTTTTTCCTTTCAAGCACTGTTTCAGATCCATCTCATAAATTTTGGTAAGCTATGTTTTCATTTTCATAAATCCCAAAAAGTTTTTTAAAAATTTTCCATATGATATTTTTGACCCATTTGTTGTTTAGTAATGTGTTAATTTGCACTTATTTATAAGTTTCCCTACTTTCTGTAATTGATTCCTAATTTCACTCCATTGTGGTTGTATAAAATATTTTTTTGCTTAAATTCTTTTATTGGTGCATTTTAGGTATACAATACATTTACATTTATCATTGAGTGCTTATACCTGTACATGATGTATCTTGGTTCTTATTTTTTCCCCATTACCTGTGCGCCCTTCACCCTCTCCACCCTTCCCTATTTACATAGACTTTTTTTCCATTTTTTTTTCTTTTCTCATAATTTTTCCTTTCCATTCTTTCCTTTCCCCATCTCCTCACATCACCCCTACACCTTTGGACCTTTTCCTCTTTCAAAGTATCAATTATTCATTATTAATCCTTTTAATCCTTATTTACACTTTCAGTTTCTCACACAAGAGAAACTATTCAGTATTTACATGTGTGTCCTATTTATTTCACTTAAGAGTATGCATCAATTTAGCTATAAATTACTCTAGTTTCTCATTCTTTATGGCTGAGTAGTACTTCATTTTATTAAAAAACCCACAGCTTCTTTATCCAGTTTCCAGTTGATGGGCACTTGGGCTGCTTCCAAGCTTTATCTATTACAAACTGTGCTGCTATAAACATGGATGCACATATATCTCTGTGGTATGATTCTTTAAATTCTTTGGGGAAGATACCCAGAAGGGGAATAGCTGGGTCAAATGGGACCTCCAGCCCTAGTTCTTTGAGTTATCTCCACACTGATTTCCACAGTGGTTGCATGTCTAACATATTTTGTATAATTTTCATTATTTTAAATAGACTGATACTTGTGTTATGGCCTAACAGTGGTTTATCCCGGTGAACATCTTTGTACACTTGATAAGTCATATAGTCTACTGATTTTGAGCACAGGTCTATAGGACCTGTATATTTTTCCTACTTTTTTTACAGTATCATTGAAGCCTATTTCCTTGTTGATATTCTGTCTAAATATTGTTTTTGAAAATGCAGTAACGAAGTCTCTATCTTTGTTGAATCATCTGTTTTGCCCTTCTACTTTGTCAGTTTCTGTTTGTGTGTTTTGTTTTGTTTTGTTTTGGTACCAGGGATTGAACGTAGGACATTGTGCTTGCAAGGCAGGCATGGATCTGTCAGTTTTTGATTCATGTATTTTGGGGACTCTGTTGTTAGGTACATATATAATTGTATCTTCCTGATAGATTAACCTACTTACAATTATAAAATGTTCCTTTCTCTAGCAACATTTTTTAAAATGTTAAATGTTTTAAATTTATTGTATCTGATATTACTATAACTCTTCCAGTTTTTTAGTGGTTTCTTTTACTTACAATTTATTTTTATTTTTAAGTGTAAAGTATGTCTCTGGTAGACAGCGTACAGTAGGACTTTGTGGTTATTTAAATCCAGTCTGGCACTCTGCCTTTTTACTTATTTAATACACTCACTTAATTTATAATAAGACAGAGGGATAGCATATCAAAATGATGAAAGAAAAAGACATTCCACCAAGAATTTCTTGTGCAGAAAAACAATTGTTTAAATAAATGTGAAATATGGTTGGACTTACATATAGCATTTTTCATTTTGACTTTGATATTATTAATTTTTTTTTTTTGTACTGGGGATTGAACTCGGGTCCTTCTGCTTGCGGGGCAGGCAGCAGAACCACTGAGCTAAATCCCCAGCCCCGATATTGTTCCTCTATTTCTCCTTTTTTTGGTACCACGTAAATGTTTTCTAGTGTAACATTTTACTAACTTTAATGAATTTTCACTATATTTTAAAAATTATTTTCTTAGTGGTTGTACTAGGGCTTACTAAATTTATCTCAAGTTAATAGACTCTACTATAGACTTAACTAAAATCTGATGGGATGTAAAAATATTCCTACATAGCTCTCCTCATTCTTCCACTTTTGTGATGCTATTGTTATACATATTATATCTGTATATACTACAAACCCCAAAGTACAGTACTACAGTTATTACTGTATATAATTATACAGGCTTATTAAGGAAGCTGAAAAAAATAAAAGGGAGCTAGTGCATCTCCATGAAGTTTGTTATATGAATCTTCCTATTTACAGTTTCTGCTTTTTTTTCTTTCTTTCTTTTTTGGTTGTATTGGGGATTGAATCTTGGGCCTACTCACTGAGGCCTTTTTGTTGTTGTTTGGTACCGGGGATTGAACTCGGAACCTTGCTCTTGCGCGGTAGGCGCCAGAACCACTGAGCTAAATCCCCAGCCCCACTGAGCCCTTTTTTATTTTGAGGCAGGATTTCACTAAGTTGTCTAGTCTAGGTTCCAACTTACGATTCTCCTGCTTCAGCCTCTCAGAGTGCTGGGATTAGAGGAATGCACTACCACTCCTAATTTCCAATATATCTTTGCTCCCATTGAAATTCTTTGTGTTTTTATTGACAAATCTGTTACTTTTCTAAGTGTTATGAGCCCAAAAATGTATTATATACATATTTATCTATATAACTGTCTTTGAAATAGTGAGAAGAAAGGCATAGAAATATGGATTTATACAATATTTTATTATTACAGAAATACATTGGCTGGAAGTATAGTTCAGGGAGTAAGCATTTACCTAGCATGTGTAAGGCCCTGGGTTCAACCCTCGCCCTGAAAAAAAAAAGGAAAGAAAAAAAAGAAAGATTAAAAAATAATTATATACATACCTTTTCTGGTTCCTTTTGTTTTATATAGATTTGAATTATTGTCCACTTGTGTGTTCAGGCTGAAGAAATTTCCTTAGTGTCTATAGTAAGGCAGGCCTACCCTGCAAGCAGATTTTGTGGTTGATTTTGTTTTTAAGTCTGGAAATGTCTTTATTTAGCCTTCATTTTAAAAGAGTTTTTCTGCACAGATTTTTGGTTGACTTTGGTTTTCTTTGACCACTCCATTTGCCCTGTTACTCTCTGGCCCTCATTATTTCTAATAAGATCAGTTACTTATCTTATTAGTGTTCCCTTGTGAATTGTCGTTTTTCTTCTACTATCTCCAAATGTTTTTCCGTCTTTTGACCGTTAGCTTTTTTACTAAGATGCTTCTGAATGTGAATCTGTTTACATTTATCTTACTTTGAGTTCTATAGGATTCTTGGGTGCATAAATTAATAATTTTAAGAAATCAAATTTGAGATGTTTTCAAGTCACTATATCTTTCCATGTTTTTCCTTTCCTTTTATCTTTCTCCTTTCTCTATGGTGCTTCCATTATTAGTGCTATCCCATATCTCTGTGAGACTCTGTTCTACTTTCTCATGTGTCTTAAATTTTATAATACAGCTTCAAAGTTCACCGATTTTACTATAGCCAGTTCATATACACTATTGAGTCCCTCTAGTGAGTTTTTCATTTTGCCTATTATACTTTTCAACTCTGAATTTCCATTTCTTTTTTAAAAAAATTCTGTCCCTTGATTGATATTCCCTCTTAGATATGATAGTGTCATCACAGCTTCCTTTTCTTTTCTTCTGCTAGCCTCATATTTCTTATTGTGGTAAAATATAAATAACATAAAAATTACCATTAACCATTTTTTAAAATGTATGATTCAGTGGTATTAAGTGCACTCACAATGTTGTTCAACCAGCATTGCTATCTATTTTCTGAACTTTCTCATCATTGAAAACAGAAACTACCTTTTAATCAATAACTCCATTTTACCCTGCTCCTCCCGGCCCCTGGGAAGCTCTGTATTCTTTATGTCTCTATGAATTTGACTAATCTAGCTACTTTGAATAAATAGAATTATGCAATATTTGTCTTTTTATGTCTGGAATCTTTCATTTAGCTTAATCTTTTCAAGGTCCATCCATGTTACAGCATGTATCAGAATTTCATATCTTTTTAAAGTTGAGTAATAGTCCATTATATGCATATACCACACTATGTTTCCACCATATTGGCCATGGTGAGTAATGCTGCTGTGAACATTGTCCTTTACTTCTTTAATAATGGTTTCCTTTAGTTTTTTTAAAAACATATTTATAATTGATGCTTTGACATTTTTTCTGTTAAATTTTATATTTAGGATCACTCAGCAGCATTTTATGTTGCTTGCTCCCCCCTCCCATCCCTGCCCCATGTTTTGAACACACTTTCTTAATTATTTGCATGTTTCATAATTTTTGGTTGAAAACTAGATATTTTAAGGTCAAATGTTTTAGCAATGCTAGATAGTGATTTTTCTTTCTTCTTCAGAACTCACTTTTATTGTTGTTTGCTTGTAAATTTGGCTACAGCCTTGACTAAAGTCTTTCAATCAAGTTCACTCCTCTCAGAGCCTTTCATGTTCCTCCCCAGGAGGCACAAACATGTGGGAGTCAGCCTAACTCAGGACTATGTTGTGTCTGCCTCCTCCCTGATATTTTGGGTAAGCTGTCTGCCTCATTTGCCTTCCTGGAATTAGAGCTAACTAGGAAAATGAGAGAAACCATTCTTCATATCTAGATGCCAGCCACTGTCTCAATTTTTCTTGTCCCCCACAGCAGGAGGTGAGCTTCTGGAAGGTTCTCTTCTAGTATCTTTTCTGCTCCAGTACATGACAGGAGGTCACAAATTTTATTCAGTTAAGATGGAGAGTAGCTTAGAAATAGATTGGGAAAATTTTGAATGTAAGGTTCAAAGCATGGCTTTTTATTACTTGATATAGGTGCCACTGAAGATATTTTAAAAGGCTTTTTTTTGATCTTTTAATTAAAAATGGCTTGGTTAAGTTATTGAAAGTTTTCTCAGCTTTAGTACCACAGGCATTTGGGATTAGGTCATTTTTCATTGTGTGTGAGGGGGATGTCTTGTGCATTGTAGAACGTTTAGCAAAATCCCTAGCCTCTAACCAGCTAGACACCAGTATCATTCTTTAGTTGCAATAATCAAAAATGTCTCCAGACATTGCCGAATATCTCCCAGGGGCAAAGATTCTCTGTTGAGAACTGCTTGGTTGTTAGGGGGAAAAGTGAGGCTAGAGGCTGGGGAGATTACATGCTCAGATCAGAGGAAACAGGACCAGAAAACGAGTTGGATAACAGACACATTAATTTAAGCATAATTTGACCTCAGGATAGTGACTTCTGTAACTGTTATTGTATTCAAATTCCACATAGCACTCAGGAGGCTGAGGCAGGAGAATCAAGAATTGGAGGCTAGCCTAGGCTACACAGCAAATATGAGGCCAGTCTGGATTATAGCAAGACCCTGTCTAAAATCACAGTAAAATAAAATGCCATATAGTATTCTTTTTCTCGGTACTGGGGATTGAACTCAGGACCTTGCACTTGCAAGGCAGGCGTAGTGCCACTGAGCTAAATCCCCAGCCCAGGCATATAGTATTTTGACACACAATATAGAAGTGTTGTGTAGTAATGAACTAGAAGTCTAAGAGAACAATTCACAAGGCCTTATTGTTTTTCTCCTGTACAAAAATATGGAACCTGAAATTGCTTTGGGGAAACTAAAGCCAGAATTGTCAGGAAAAGCTTAAGGCCAGTTGCATGAATATATTTATTTCTTATGTAACTGGAAATATTAAAGGCAAACATGCATTTTTTTGGTTGAGACAGAATCTCAATATGTGGCCCAGGCTGGCCTCAAACTCATGGCAATCCTTCTGCCTCAGTCTCCTAAATGCTAGGATTACAGGTGTACACCACCATGCCTGGAAAACATGCATCTTTTAGTGAATATTGACATTTTGTATTTACAAAACTTTTAGTTTTGTACAAGAGAATGTTTTCCTACAGTTCATGCTGTAATTCCCCCTGCTGAGGAAATGTAAAACTCTTTACCATTACCCTTAGAAATGTGAAGCAATGTTTCTTAAAGTATAGAGGCTGTTATTTCAAATCAGCATTCAGGCAGGCTTGAGAGAACAGGAACATGAAATACATATCAGATACAAACAATTTGCTTTTGGAAAAATCTGCACATCTGTTGTTTCCTCTCACGGGGTCCGCTAATAGTGAGTTCACTGTAACCCAGTGACGGTGCAGCAGCAACATGGTGAACAGTTGTGTCAGTGCTGCTGTTTTCCCAGTTAAACACGACAAAGATTAGGCAAGGTGTGGCTGCCTATGCTTTATTGCCATGGCTTCATTTTCCTAATCCTCCTTATTTTTTTAGCCTCGAAAGAAAAAAAGAATAATCATAATATCCACCGTAAGTGATGATTGGTGATTAGAATGATTGGTGATTAGAGCTTCTGGGTAATTTCCATCAGGAGAAAATGCTTTCTTGGTATGTTCTTGCTTTATTCTGAGGACAGTGAGAAAAAAATGCCTGGCTGTGATCTGACCCTTGATACACAGTCTTTGGAAGTAATATCGCTGGGACCATCGTGCCAGTCTGGCCTCTAATAACAAGCCGCAGATACCCCAGATATCATCAGACTGAGGCTCATTTCTATTGTTCAAATAGTTAATTCAAGTGCAGGGAATCGCTTCGTATTTTCCAAAAGTAGTTTTTAATTCTGCAAAACATTCTGTGTGGTTTTGTACTTTAAATTCACACTTTGGAGCTAGGGATGCAGCTCAGTGGTAGAGTACTTGTCTAATGTGTGTGAGGCTTTGGGTTTGATCCCTAGCACCAGTTCGCCCCCGCCGGAATTCACCTTTTATGTACCATCTTGAATTTGTTGTCTGGCACAGAATAAAAGTCAGCAGCAAGCATCCTGCTTCCTTGTAGAGTGTTTCACCCTCAGAGGATGGTCCCAGTAGGAGAGAGGCTTCCTGTCAGTTCTGCTGCACTCTGTCCTGAGTTTCCACCAGCTCCTTTCCCACTTTCCAGTTCATGTAGCTTCTGAAAACAGAACTTCACCCTGCTTAGGGGACCAGAAGGAGCAAGTACTGAAAACTGCCTGCTTTCTCTTCATGGCACTGCACAGACTTCTGGCAACCCAAGGCTGGTTGACCAGGCCACTCTATATATTAAAGCCTTCTACCCTTCCTCTTTCCCTTCCTTGCTACAACATGGACATCCATAAAAGAATAGCTTCTTTGGGGCTGGGGATTTAGCTCAGTGGTTACGGCCCCTGGTGTGCAAGTGCAAAGACCTGGTACCAGAAAAAAAAAAGAATAGCTTCTTTTACCTCCCGTAAACCAACTTATCTTGTTTTTTGTGTGTGTTTTCTTTTCTTTCTTTTTTTTTTTGGTGCCAGGAATCAATCTCAGGGCCTCACCCTTGTTAGGCAGGTGCTGTACCGCTGAGCTACATCCCTGGCCCTATCTTGGGTTTTGTGTACTGTCTCCCTCCCATCAATCATGGAAAGCAAACTTTAGAGAGCACTGTAGCAAGGAAATGGAGAAAAGGAGAAATGGAGGGCATGCTTATCATAACCCCAATGTGCAATTTTCATCTCCCTAGTACAGCTCTTAGGCTTTTTCCTGAGAATACTCGGCACCTTTCTTTCTAGGCACTGTAGATCACTAAAATTGCCTTCATATGAGTCAAGAGCTTTGGTCTGACTTCTCTCTTTGCTGCCAACTTGTGTGCAGTAGGCCGCCTAACCCATGGAGGATGTGTTCCAAGACTCCAGTGAACGCTTGAAACCACAGATACGTTTTACATTTTTCCCTACATGTACACATGATAAAGTCTAATCTGTAAATTAGACACAGTTAGATATTAATACCTTTAATAAAATGGAACAATTAAAACCATATACCATAATAAAAGCTATGTGAATGAAGTCTCTCCCTCAAAATATTTTATTGTACTGTACTCACCCCCTTCTTCTTATGATGATGTGAGATAATTCTTAAAGGAAGCACTCAATAGTTTAAGCCCAACAGGTTCTCTTTGGCAGATCCACATTGCCAGCATCATTACTCTTGCATTTTGGGGCCCTTAATAAGTAAAATAAGAGTTACTTGAACATAAGCACTTTGATGTCACAAGTTGATCTGATAACTAAAGCTGGGTACTAAGTGACTAAGGGGTGGGTAGCATATACTGCGTGGATAAGATGGATGAAGGGATGACTCGTGTTGGGGGGGTGGAGCAGGACAATGAGATTTCATCACATTACTCTGAGGGGCAAGGATTTTAAAACTTATGAATTCTTTCTGGAATTGGCCATTTAATATTTTTGGCTGCAGTTGCCCACATGTAACTGAAACTAGAAAGCAAAACTGAGAGGATGAGGTGGTGCTCTGCCCTGGGGCTCACTCTTTTACTCTCTCTGTGTCACAGTCTGGGGTAATGACACCTCCCATGCCTTCCTAAAATGGTTACAGTGGGTTTACATGAGCTACTATCTATGAACGTGTGGTAAAAACTAGGAAATGCCAAAGGCAAGTTTTGTAACCGTCTTTCCAATCTCATCTCTAAAATCATACAGGTTCCTCAGATTCTACCATTTTCACAAATTTCTTTACATTGTAGCAAAAACTTTGTTAAAGACTTATTTTCTTTCTCTTTTTTTTTGGTACCAGGGATCAAACTCCGGGTTATTTTCATTTTTTTGAGTCACAGGTAGAGCTGTCTCCTTAGCTAGCAATTCTTATGGGTTCCTGTTTGGTCTCTGTTCACACAGCTGTCACTTCCCAGAGGTCCTTCTGTCCATCCCTCTGGACCATGCGCCGCTGCAGCCTGCCTGCGTTCCCTGCTGGTCTGAGGGCGGATGCTCCGGAAGTGGCACCTGGCCTTGGACTCCACCAAGCCTGCCCCAGCCCAACCCACACACCAACTCCCACATTTCTACTCGGAGGAGGACACTACAAAAATGGGTTTTTTGGTTTTGTTTTGTTTTGTTTTTGGTACCGGGGATCGAACTTGGGACCTTGCGCTTGTGAGGCAGTCGGAGGAAACACTGAGCTAAATCCCCGGCCCTCAAAACTGATTTTTAATGAGATTAAACTTTTGGTTTTTTTTTATGGGACTAATAATTCTTAACCACTTACCAGTCCAATTATTTAAATAGAAGATGACCAAAAATTGCCTATTTTTCTTAATTTTTATAATATAACAGGAAATATAAAAATGAGAATTTTATCAAATGTATTCAATACAAGAATTGACTGGTTGAAATGACTCCCTCCCCCCCAATCAATGCTCGGGACAGTCACTATGCAAAAAAGCTTACTGCTAGAGTGATGCGCAGGGTAAACTAAGAGGTTAAATAACTTATTTTCTGATTAAGAAATATTGATAAAAAATTGGAAAGACAAACAGAAAAAGGAAAAATGATCTGATCTGCAGTGCCAATCTTTTTAACATTATGCTATGAATGGTCCTCACTTCCCTCTTACATTAATAGGAATAAGATCATACTGTTTGGTAACATTTATTTGTAACAGCTTATTATATTTTTATTATGGCCTAATACACATAAGAAAATTGACCATCTTAACCATTTTTAAGTGTATAGTTCAGTGGCATTAAATCCATTCATAATGTTGTGTAAGCATTATCACTGTTTCCTTAAACTCACTCTCTCTTTCTCAAAGTATATACTGGGGACTGAAGCCAGGACCTTTGCACTAAGCTACATTCCCCAGCCCTTTTTATTTTTAATTTTAAAACAAGGTCTTACTAAACTGCCCAGGCTGGGGTCAAACTTGTGAACTCAAACTGCCTCAGTTTCCCAGAGTGCTGGAATCTTCTCATCTTTAATACTGAAACTCCATAACCAGTAAACAATAACATCCCATTCCAACATCCCCCTTACCCATTGCAGCCCCAATTCTACCTTCTGTTTCTATAATTCTGACTACTGGAACTCCCTAATATATTTTGTAGAATCATATAGTGTTTGGTGTGTGTGTATGTGTGTGTGTGTGTGTGTGTGTGTGTGTGTGTATGTGTGATTGTTTTAAGTATCATTATTTTTAAATTTTGTAATAACATACAGCAAATTTTTCTGCCTTTAAATATTAATTTGCAATGCAATTTGTAACGGTGCATTATATCCCACTGTATATATCATAAGTCAATTAACAACCAATCATTGTTGAACACTTAGATCATATTTTCCCTACATGGCACTATAACAGGAAGAGTTAGACAGGGGCAGGAGTGGGAAGTCAGAGAAAGAGTGAGTGTTTCCCCTGAGCACTTGCTCCAAAATAGGTACTGTACTTAGGTGAGCCCTCTTCTATGTTCTTATTTCTCTCCTGGATGGTGGAACTTTGCCACATGTTCTCCACTGCAGGACATTTCCTATGTAGCTAAGTCTTAACTCGTTTTTTTTTTTTTTTTTATGAATTCACATAAATGGAAGTATAGAATCAACAGGTTTATCATATGCTAACACTTTTTTTGGTACCAGGGATCGAACTTGGGCCCTTGTACTTGCAAGGCAGGTGCCAGAACCACTGAACTAAATCCCTGGCCTGTATTCTAACACTTTTGATGAGTGTTAAAAACTTGTCATTCAGAAAGTAAGAACCAATTTATATTTCCAGGAGCAATATAAAAGGATGCTTATTTCCTGGGTAATATGGGCAACTGTATTAGTCACTTTCTTGTCACTGGGACAAAATACTCAACACTTACAAGTTAAAAGGGGAGAGGTTTATTTTGGCTCACAGTTTTCACAAGATTCCGTCTGTGGTTGGTTGCTTCCAAGGCAGAAATGGTATGCTTAAGGAGAGTGGCACAGGAAAGCTGCTCATTCCATGGTGGTCAAGAGGCAGACAAGGGAGGAACTAGTGACATGAATACACATTTCCAGGTCACAGCCCCAGGGACCTACCCCCTTCAAACAGACCCCACTTCTAAACATGACTCTTTTGGGGGACATTTTATATCTAAACCGTAACATTCCTCCCCTATCCCCCAAAAGACTCATAACATCTCATAACGTGAAACACATTTAGCCCACCTCTAAGTGTTGTCAAAATCTTAAGATTTCCAATATTGCTGAAAATTCCAAGTCCAAAGTCTCCTCTGAGACTCAAGACAAACTCTTAGCTGTGAGCCCCTGTGAAAATAGAAAAAGAAAGTTAAAAACTTCCAAGACACAAAGGCACAGAGTAAACATTTCCATTCTAAAAAGGAGGACTAAGGGAATAGATAGAAATTGGACCAAAGCAAGACCAAAATTCAGCATGGCAAACGTTAAATGCTGAAGGTCTGTAACAAGGACTTGAGGTAGGTTGTGGTGAGATATGAGCTCCAAAATGCTTGAACACTTGCCCCTGTGGCCTTGCCAGTTGTGGCCCACATGACCTCTCTGTTGGTCAGCCTCCACCTGCTAACTGCAGTATTCCTCAGCAGACGTTCCATATTTCTGGGATCTCCAACTTTGTGTGATGTCCACTGCTCCTTCTGCCTCACTTTTACAGCTGCATGTACTGTCCTCTCAGGGGAAAACTGTATGGCCTCCCAGGGTTTACTCTGAAATCTGGGTGGAAGCGTCCAGCACTCCACAACTCTTGCATTTAGCATGCCTCAAAAATCACCAGCATGTGGATAATACCAGGCTTTGTGGAAAGTTTCTCCATGTACCATGGCTGCAGTGACCTCTGAGGGTCAAGATGGCCTAACTCTGGGAAACACTTCCCTAGGTGGGCCTGAATGAGCTGGGCTCCCTAGGGCTCCCTTCTCCAAGCAAAGTCTTTCAAGTTGTTTACCCTTTTGCACCCTTAAGCCTGGGGGAGATGGGGTCTGGCCAATTCCGGAGATGCTTTTAAGCCATCTTTTCTATTTTCTTGATGTAAAGTACTTGGCTTCTTTTTAATGTTAATCTTTTTAGCACCCACACTTTATTTGCTTTTCATGGCCCTAACTTTACATGTACTTTCTGACCAAGCTGCAAAATCTGCTCCTGATTTTCACTGTCCAGCTGGTTAAAAGCAGCCAGCAGTACCCATGTCACAGCCTTAACAGCTGCTTTGAAATTTCACTGCCAGACTATAAATTCAGCCTTACACAGTGTCTTAGGATATGGGCAAAATAGAGACAAGTTCTTTGCCAGAATGCAACATGCACAGCCTCTAGTCTAGTTTGCAATATAATCCTCATTCCTATCTGAAACCTTGTGAGGCTGGCCTTTACTATCTGCATTCCTATCAGTATTCTGGTTTTCTGAATTCAGATTAGAATCTCCTAACAAGCTCTGCTTATTGCATTCTAGGACTTCACTAGCCAAGATCTTCAAACCTTTCCAAACTCCTCCCACACTCCAGTTCCAAAGGTTCTAAACCACATGATCAGGTACAATTATAGCAATAGTCCCACTCCTGGGGCCAAAATCTGAGTTAGTCACCTTTCCCATCATTGAGACACAATAACAAACACTAGCAACTTACAAAAGAAGAATTTTATTTTGACTCACAACTTTCAGGGATTCAGTCCATGATTGGTTGACTCCAAGAGAGAATGGCATGATGGAAGGAATGACAGAGGAGAGCTGTTGGCCTCATGGCAATCAGGAAGCAAAGAGAGAGGAAAGGAGGCAGGAACAAGAATATTCCCTTCCAGGTCACAACCCCAGTGACCCTCCCCTTCCAAGTAGGCCCCAAACCCAAGACATTTAAGGGAATATTTTAAATCTAAAACCTAACACCAAACTTTGGCAAAACATTTTAAAAACATATTTTTGAGCTGGAATTATTTTAAACTGTTTATGTTCACTAAGTTAAGTTGGGCCATGAATATCATCTCAAAAGTTTTCTGTTTCTGAGGCTTTCTTGGATGGTTGTGATACTATCTTAGTTTTTATTTGTTTTTAAGACAACACCTACAGTAATGAGGAATAAAAGCACAAAGTACCAAGACAGGTTATTGCAATCACAACTGAATATGAAAATGTATTAATAAAGCATTCTGATAGTCATGAATTCAATTACTGAAGTATTGGTAGATGTTTTAGATTATGAAGTATGTGGCTCAATATTTAAAAGTAAGAAACATGAATAAAGAAAATTTATAGTTTCAAGTACAGGCACATTTCTGAAGATGGACAGGGCCAATTAACTAATTCTTTTATAGTAGATTATAAGGCAGCTCCTAAGTTTTAAGGAAATAGTCTCTAGAAGTTTTAGTGGGACTTCAGCTCTATGTCAGCTCTCTATCCATGATATTTGGCTGCTAATAAATTTGATAAAATCACAAGTCTAGCTTGCCAAGGTACTGCAGTGATTTAACACTCAAAAATGTATCTCTTACATATTATCTTTTCTCTATTCATACATGTTACGATTGAATTATGCTCTCGCTTCAATTCCTGTGTTAAAAGTCCTTACTCCCAGTACATCATAATATGACCATGTTAGGAAACAGTACTTTTAAAGGGATAATAAAAGTAAAATAAAGTAATATGGGAAGGTCCAAATCCAATATGCCTGACATCTTCATAAGAACAGGTTAGGACACAGAGAAACACAGAGGGATGACCATGTGAAGATAGCAGAGGATGACCAATATTTTCAAGCCAAAGAGGTCCTCAGAAGAAACCAACCCAGCTGACACCTTGACATTGGACTTGTAGTTTCTAGAATTGTGAGGAAATAGATTTATGTTGGTTAAGCCACCTGTTCTGCACCATATTTTGTTAATAATCTGATTTTATCCAGTAAAGCTTCTCATTACTCTTGCTTCCATTCTTCTGTTATGAAAAGTAATTTCCATAAAAGTACTTTCCGCCCACATCTGCTTAACATGTCATAGTTCCTTGCTTCATGAATCCTTCAAAAGAAATTACAAGCTGGTATAATTGTATCTTTCTAACATGATTTGAGAGACTTGTATGTTAATGTTATGAAAACTAAGTTTCTAAAGTCCCTTAATGATATTTTATATTGTTACTTATGTAATGCCTAAGAATATAAAATGGAATGCAGCATAAATCAAAGAAAGACCATTGGGTGGTAAGAATTGAGACACCATGAGGAGCACTCTATTCAGTCAGCAAACACTTTCTGATCACATGTTATGCCCAGGTCCTGTTCCAGGAGTTGGGAACACAGAAGTGGGCAAAACCAAGTGCTCTTGCTTCAGATGTCCTACCTTTCAGGAAAAAGATGAAACTATTTCTCCTCTATTCTAGTCTGCTGCATTACTGAGTATCACACATATTTAATATGATTTCCTGTGGAATCTGTTGGATTTAAACCTTGAATCAGGCCAGTTTTGCATTAAGGTCAGGAAACTACAAGCTGGGTTCTTGTCTTTGAATCTGGAAATCTGAACCACAACTAGATGACGGTTGTACCTGCTCTGTGACAGTTGGTGTCTGTCAGCATGGCAGAGGGGAGCATGTTTCACTGGAAGCTCTATTTCACAGGTCCTGGCTGGCTGGGTTGCTGATTTGGAGGAAGAAATACTGAGGTCCTAGATGTGGACTCCCAGGCCAAAGTGGGGAGAATGGTGATGATGAGTAGAGAGACCCAGTCACGGGACAGGGGAGTACTGTTCAGAGGTGCCTGTTGCTTACCTAGGGCAAGACTCATGCAGGGAGACTGTTATGGCTTATGTCTAGATGTCCCCCACCAAGGCCTCATGTACTCATAGGTGTGGCTTTTGGGAGGTAGCTGGATCATGGATGTCTGATACTGGATTAAGGGTGTGATAACTGGATTAGTCCACTGATCAGATTAGCATAGTTCTGGGTGTGGCTAAATAGATTTAATGAAGATGGAAGATCCACCTTGGCTGGGAGGGGGCACCAACCAATTGGCTTGTATTTATTCTGGATGGAATAAAAAGAGGAAGGGAAGCTTGTTGCTTCAGTGTCTCCTACTTGCCATGCTGTCAACTGTTTCTTCTCTGCCATGCCCCTTTGCCTCACTTCCTTGCCTTAGAGCCAGCTGACTATGGACTGAAACCTCTACAATCTGTGAGGTAAAATAAATCTGTCCTTCTTTAACTTGTGGGTGTCAGGTATTTTGTCCCAGCAATGAGAAAGCAACCAAGACACTTTCCTCTGAGGTGGATGACTGGATGAGCACAAGGTCACATGGGGGTGAAAGAAATGTTCTACATCCCAATTGAAGTGGTGATGGTTACATAGATGTAACAATTTCTCAAAAACTCATCAAAACATATACAGTGGTAACTCAGTTCACAAACTCAATTTGTTCCATGATTCTGAGAAAAATCACTCTATTCATGTTCATGCAGGGAAGATGGCTACAGTTGTGTTCGTCACCTGATGTGGAGTTTGCAAACTAAACAAAATTTTGCCAAATGCTTCTGTTAGTAAACCAAATTGGCTGAAAATAGAAGTGTTCATGAACCAAGGTATTATTGTAATTAAAGAGTGCTTTTGTTTAAGGTAAACTGTGCCTCACTAAAGTTGATTTTTTTTTTTTTTTT